ACAGGGCACCCTGGGGACAGGACACCCTGGGGGCAGCTTGCCCTGGGATGGGGCTGTGGGCCGTGCAGTGCAGCGGGCGGCCTGATAACCGCCCGTAAAGCCCGGGTGAGAGGGAAGGAGGCACAGGAGGACGGGCAGGACGTGGAGACCTGCTCTTCCCTCCCCACCTCACCCTTCCTTTATTTCACCCTCCCAGCGTGTTGTGTTTGCTCCTCCCTTGCTCGCAGCTCCAGGCTCTGCTCTTCCTGTCCGCGCGGATCCCGCTGTTCTTGTCCCCACGGATCCCGTGGATCCTGCTGTTCCCCTCTGCGTGGATCCCGCTGTTCCGGCGCTGGCTCTCCCCAGGTGAGCTCTGCCCTCCCCTTTCCATACGGCTCCCATTCTGCCTGTGTCGCCGAGGGGTGCCCCTGCCTCGCGTCATGTTTCCCCGCCGTGTTTGCTTGTGGTCAGAAAGTCTGAATCTGACCCACGAAGAGCATCGATTTAAAGCCTGAAATAGGTATGGTCTGGGTGGGTTGTAATGGATGGAAAACCAAGACTGACGATGCAGCTTGTCGGTGGGCTGTAACCCCATGTTACCATCCCACCTCTGCCCTTCCTCYGATGCCTCTCCCATTAATGGTGTTTTGTCTGCCAACTTCACTGCCTCGGGCAGCCTCGCGGTGTCACCTGCTGCCCTTGGTGACCCTTCCTTTCGAGCGGCTGTGCCCTCGCGGGAGGGAATCGCTGTACGGAGCCCATGTGCACTGGGGGCACCCAGGAAAGGAGCAGCCGGTGCATCCGAGCCCCTGCTCCGCAGGGTCCCGCTGGTCCCGAGTGCTGGACCAGAGCCTCTGGCACGGCGCCGTGTCCCGTGCCAGCCCTGACGCGGYGACATGTCCCATGCCATCCCCTGCCGTGCCACCATGTCCCGTGCCAGCCCCCCGAAGGGCGCTGCCCTGCAGCCGGGTGCGCTTCCTCCCTGCTCCTGTGCCCATTCCCTCCCKTCTGCCAGGGACGTGCCCAGCGCGTCCCTTCCAGGTGACTCAGCGCCAAGGCGGAGCAGGGCAGGGAGTGTCCGGAGCGGCGGGCGCTCCGTGCGCGCGTGGCACGGGATGCGCGCGCTGCTCGGCTGCGGCAGTGCACCTGCAAGAGGCTTAATTGCTGGTGGACATGCAGGGAGTTAATTATTGCTCTCCCCCGGGAAGATTAATGGAAAAAACTTTGTCTGAGGCATTTAGAGAAGCTCCTTTCTGTGTGGGCAGAGGGGACGAGCTCTGTGATCCAGCAGATTTTGGTGGGGGGCTCTGTGGCTGTCGCGGGGGCCGCGCATCGCTCCATGTCTCCATCCTCGCGCGCCTCCGAGGAGTGTCGTGTTTGCAGCATCCGTGTTTAATGCATTGGGCCGGGTGGCCGGCAGCGCTGTGCCCAAGCCAGAGCACCCCTTSTCCAGGTGCTCTCCCAGCTGCGTTCCTCTCCCTGCGCTGCTCTCCCGTGCTGGCCTGGCTGCGGTGCCGTCTGCAGAGAGAGCAGCGGGAATGAACTCCCGTTGAATCATTGCGTTGCGGGCATCCCAGCGGGAAGTCGGAGCTGCAGGAAGCCGCTCGCAGCCTCTTGAAGGCCAGTTAAGCACGGGAAGCAACTGGGGACCTCGTGGCCTCGGTGGGCCGTGCGCCAGGCTGCCGGCACACGTGGAGGCGGCTCCGTGGCGGGCCCGGCCTCCCTGCGCTCCTGGCGCGTGTGTTTGGATCCCGGAGCCGCGGCTCCCTCCCTCCCAGCGCCGCGGCAGCAGAAATACCCGGCCTGCGGCGCGGCGCTGCGAGCCCCCGCTGTGCTCTCTTGCAGATCGCTTCACTTCGCAGCTCTCCGTGCTGACATGGTCACTCCACGGGGGCTTTGGCCGCCGGGCGGATGGGGACAGCTGCTCCGGAGAGGTAACCATCCGTGCCGCGTGTGTCCGCTCCCGGGGCATTTACCTCGGGGGTGTTTAAGTGTTTGCAGCAGGGAAAGAAAGTTTCGCTCGTGTCCGCACGCTTGGACTTCCTTAAATTTCCTGCATTGAATTTGATCCCTTGTTTTTGTTCGGCTTCTAAATATAGTCTGCACAGTGCTGCTTAGGGATATGCTCCGAGCGTCCCAGGCTCGTCCATGCTCTGGGCAGACCTTTAGAAATACAGCGAAATTGTGGTTATTTCGCTGTGATTTTACAACTGAAATCGCTGCTGCTTCCAGCCTGGGGCGGGCGGCCAAGATAACGGACTGTGCTCGGGTAAATAGTGGTCTAACCATCCGGGCGCACAAACTGACCTCGATTTCTGTGTCATCTATTGCTACGTAACTGCCAAACACAGTCAAAAACTGACCGGGTTATTACAGGGCTGTGACGGGTTTCTGAGGACATGGTAAATACGTGCTCCGAGCACCGCTGTCCTACAATAAACCTTGGAGGTGATGCTTGGAATCCATCACTATTATATATGTATTGCACCGTAACGCTTTGTGTAGCTGTCGCTGTGGGTTGAGGGCGGATTTACTTTTGCTGCAACATCTGAGGCATTGGGCTGCACAATGACGTGGTTTTCTGTAGGAAACGTGAATCTGCTGAAGTTTGGGCAACTCTTCTGGTGTCTGTGTTGTGGCATCGGGGATGTCACCTTCCAAGGCCCTGCACAGTGAGAGGGTTTGGCAATGAGCCGATAGGAATGCATTGAGCAGGAAAGCACTGTTTTGTTTTGTTTTTCAGGAAAGCACTGCACTGAAAGCCTTTTGGTCAAGGGGATGCAAAATGCCTCTTCCCCCAAATAATTGATTTTTGGATGTCATTCGGTGGAGTCCTGCTCAGTTGCAGGAGGGGTAGAGAGCAGAAATGTCTCAAGATAGAGCTTAGTTTCAACAGAACTTTGTGAAATGCTCTTAACTTCCAAGCTGAAATGATAGCATGTGGAAAACCCTCTGTCCTTTAGGATCTCCATAGGAGCTGTTGAATAGTCTGAGATCGTTTGGCCCCGGGGTGCCTGTGCAGGAGTCCTGCTCGGAGGTGCGGGCTTGGGGCGCCCTCGGTTTGCAGAGAATTCCCGGAACGGTCCGTAGCCAAGACCGGGCTGTGCAGGTTGGGCTGCAGCATGGGGACGCGGGGCGCGGACGGCACGCGGTCGCGCGGCTTTGGGAGGGCACATGCAGCTTCCTGCTGGAACTGAGAGACACCTGGTCTTGATGGCCTGTCAAGACAAACGTTCTGACACAAGCTAGGAATGAGGAAGGTCTCGTGGGGAAAACGTTTGTCAGACCCGAGGGGTCAGGTGAGGCACGTCAAGAATAACCAGGGATCCATGTGGTCACCTCAGTGTTGGAAATCTAAGTTCAAATCCTTGTCCTGCTGTTTTTTTGGATTTCTTTCTTTGAATGGAAATCTCAATTTCATCTTAATGCAAGCCAGGAACATTTCTGAAATTGCCCGGGTCCAGTTTTCCCTTTGGAGTTGACCGCATGGATTTCACTAGAGCTGCTGGACCTTGACAGTGTCCTTGACTTCTTTGCACCTCTGCTCCTCTTCCCGGAGCCCCAGGCTCGTGCCGGGCACGTGGGGGCGTCGTGAACGGAGCAAGAGCTTTGCTTTCCAGAGGCAGAAATCCCAACRGGCGGGAGCTGCGCTGAAATGCCCTCGGTGGCAGAGCTGTCTTGGCAGGATCGCGACCACAGGCACTGTTTGTATCCCTGCAGAAAACACAGGGAAACTGCTCTTCCAGGCAGCTTTTACGGTATGAACGTGGCCAAAAATAGTAAGGAAACATCATTCTGCAGTTGCCTAAGAGGCCRCTGAACTTGTTCGGGTAGCAGGGCTATTTTAACACTCTCGAGAGTTTCCTGCAAGGAGGCAGAGGCAGTCCTGGGTTTGCTCCTGTTCTCTGCCCTGTGGTTGAAATGGAGCAAAGTGTTTTAATTGTTTTATGTTTTATTTGTCTTAAGCGCTATTTTGATATGTAGAAGGCACATGAAGTMAAATTGTGAGTGTCCTTGTCATGTATTCCCTGGAATATCTCCTGAGCAGGAGTAGGGTGAGGGTGAAGTGTGATTTGGAGGATTCAGAACCCACCTGGGTGCCACCCTGTGCACTGGGTGCCCCTGCTTGGGGGAGCAGGAGGTTGGACTGGGTGATCTCTAGAGGTCCCTTCCTTCCTCAGCCGTTCCGTGGTTCCGTGATTCCGTGAACCAGGTGTTTTGCAGCGGCCGCTGCAGCGCGGGTGCCCCAGCCCTGCCGCGCCACTGGTGCGGGAATGGTGCCGTGGCGGCCGTGGTCGGCCTGGTAAGGGGGGTCTGGAGYGCCGGTGCCGCCGGGCAGGATGTCAGCTCCGTTGTGGTGCTCTCAGCCTGGGCACAGCCGGCAGCCTGCGGGAGCTCCTGCTGGCTGTTTGCTCCAGGGAAGCGGCTCCGTGCCGCTGCTCGCCGTGCTCGCGCTGGCCTGCCGACGCTTGCGGGCTCGGCAGAGGAAACCTGTTCGTGAGTTGGGGCCGCCAGGATTCCTGTCTCCCATTCCCAACGTTTGCCTCCTGTCACAATTCCCTCGGATGGGGTGGCCCTGCCCGGTGCACAGCCGCTGCTCGCTGGTGYCCTGGGGGCACCGAGGTGCTGGAGGCGCTGAGCGGAGCCACGGTGCCGAAGGGACCCGCCGGATCCCTGTGGAAATGGAGCCGTGGCCCCCGGCCCTGCCATCCTGTCCGGGCCTGCATCGTTCCTGCTCCCGTGTGCTCCTCCCTGCTCCGTCCTCTTCTAGAATTACCGGCATTCCTGAAACCGGATCCTTCCACGCGGCTTCCTCAGGTCCGGTAGGACAAGGGGTCTGTCAGCAACAAGCGCTTGGAGTAATGCACAGCGGGGCTCCGGGGGCCTTGCAAAGCCGGGCCTTACAGCGGGGCTCCGGGGGCCTTGCAAAGCCGGGCCTTACAGCGGGGCTTCCCTGTCCACGGAGCCGCCAACCTCCCCTCCCTGCAGCGTCGCCAGGGGGTTGCAGTTCCCAAGGGCTTCTCTGGCGCTTCCGGAGGGAAGCGGGAAGTGGAGCTGCGGAGCTGCCCGGCGCGGCGGGCGCCGTGCGGAGCCTGTCCCRCCCGCAGCGGCCCCGTGGCGATTATTTCACCTAACGTCATGGGGCTGCTCGGGCCGCCCTCCCGCGTGCCCTGGCACCGCGTGGCCCGTCTGGCGCCTGCGATTACTGCTCTTCTCGAATGGCAGCGCTTCTGCTCCRCTGCCAGCGCTGCGGTGCCCGGCGGTGTCACCTTGCGGGGCCAGCGAGGGCCTTGGCCCCGCTGCCTGTGGCAGGGGGTCAGCGACGCCCTCCGCGTGCGCTGGGAGCTGCAGGAAAAAGCCGGCATCGGGCAGCGCTGCCCGGCAGCRACCGGCCGCCCGGYGACGTACGGGGTGCRCGGTGACAAGTGGGGTGCSCKGYGRCRAGCGGGGYGCCCGGGCCTGAGCGGGCGCTCGAGTTTCCTCTGCSTTTCCTCTGCGTGACGGCCCCAGTGGCTTGTGCAGCATGAGCAGGAGCGGGAAGGAAGCGGCGTCAAACCTGCGCCTTCATTGGAGGAGGGAAGGGAGGCCCTGGGGTTCACGGGAATGTGCCTGTGCGGAGCAGGATGTGGGATAACGCGGGAAGCCCCGCGCGGCGACGCTCGCACCCCTTTTGTGAGACCAAGCCCCAGAGCCCGACCCACGGGGCCCAGGGGGGCGCAGAGCCCCTCGCCCAAAGGACACCCTGCCTAGGGGTGGTCCTCATTAACCCTCTGTCCGCTCGAGACCCCGCAGCACCTCCAGTGCCAGTTGGGAGGCCCGGGGATGTCTCCGGCCCCTGGGCCAGGGGCCGTGTCCTCCCTCCCGCGCCCCTGTGTCCCTGCCCTGTGCCCACGTGTCCCCCCCGCCCGGAGCTGCCGTGTSCCCCCCCAGCACCGCCCAGTGTCCCTGAGCTGCCGTGGCTGCCCCGGCTGCGCTGCCAGCAGCGCTTGCCAGGGAAGCGGCAGCGGGGACAGAACAGCAAGTTCCTTCTGGAGCCAGACACGGTGACCTGCTTTTGGGGACAGCTTCGGCTGTAGTATGAAGCGAGAAGAATCCAGGGAAGTTTCGTAACCTTTAAACTTTTTCCTTTTAAACTTTTTTTTCCTTTTTTTCCCTGTCTGTGTCCAGGAAGTGGGTGAGTTAAAACATATGGTAGCGTGTGACTCAGGCTGGCGAGGCCGAGCGCACCAGGCGAGTGGGGAATCTCCCGTCCCTCCCCATGGCGTGCTTCTGCGTAATTAGCAGCGACGTGATAATGACGCAGGCAGCCCCTTGCTTTGGGGCTCATCCTTTGTAAAAAATGAATAAATAAAACTAATAAAAAGGCGGCGGGCTAGGGCAGGTTTAGGCCTGTGCGCTGTCAGCAGGAAGGTGCAGGGACGCTCTTGTGTTAGATGCTTCACTCTTCTTAGCTCTTCTTGGGTGTTTTGTTGGTCGGAGCTGACGTGTAGGAGGGGAAAGTGAGACAGGTTCTTGATCGATGGATATTGAAAGAGTGACCCAAGGGACACRTGCCGGTGGGGCTAACGAGATGTGATTAACCTCTCTGCTAGGGGTCCGTTCTGTGGACCCGGCGCGCGCTGCMCGTCGCGGAAGGCGCTGATGTGTCGAGACGTGCTCTCGCCCCCCTCCGGAGGATCCGCTTCTCTTGAGCTCAGACTTGGCCAGCACCTTTTATTAATCCTGACAACATCAATGGGGAAGTGCTGCCACATAGAGCGGTTTCCTTTGCAATTCCTGCTGCAACAACTTGAGGATTCAGAGCTTCCAGGGAGGCAGCTGGGCAAGTCGCATCCCTCGGGAGGCTTGGGCACTTTGCTCTGKCAGAAATCTGCATTTTCCAAGGAAGAATCCTCTTGGGACCCTCGGAAGTGCGATGGGACTTGCCTGGGAACAGCTTTCACCTCCCACCCATGCAAATCGTTTGGAAGCAGCTGCACGGAGGGGACGGGGCCCTTCGCTGCTCCCAGCCAYGCTTGTGCCCGCGGGGCTGCAGCTCCCGGAGCCCAGGTCCATGTGCGCCGGGCGGTGTCCCGTGTCCCACGGGGGCGCGGGGCCATCACGRCTCCTGACCCCGGCTCTGCGGGCCAGCACGGCTTCCAAACTGCGGCCGGGACGTCGCCACGTGCGGGACGGGGCTCGGAGCTCCCCGAGCGACCCCGCCGGCCACGGCAGCGGCTCCTCCGCAGGGCTGGAGATTTTTCTGGCTTCAGTTTTCAGGGCTCTCCATGTGTGCTCTGCCGACCCTCCTCCTTGGGGCATGTTTCCCTTGTCCCCCTCCTTCTTCCCATGCTGGGGACACCCGGATTTAGCCTACAGAACACCCTTCGGGTGGTTGCACGGGAGCCTGGTGTCACCTCCAGGGCCGCAGAGGCTCCTTGGAGCAGGGAGCGAGGCAGGGACGGAGGCACTTGCGGGGCGCCTGCCCTCCGGCTCCGTCCCATCCTGCGGAAGAGGAAGGAGCCAGATTTGCCTGGCTGCTCCAGAGGGGCTGACAGAAGAATTCGTGGCCGCCGTCCTTGTTTCCATCCCCTCCTTCCATCTGCGGAGCGGAAAAAGGGGCTGGGTGCTCCGGGCAGGAACGTGCCCTGCTCCCGCCGCGGCCGGGCGCCCGCCCGGGGTCTCTCCGGCAGGCAGGGACTGCAGTCCTTGTTCCCCTTGCTCTGCCCGCCCGCTCCCTGTTCCCCTTGCTCTGCYGCCCCGGAGCTAGACGGGGAGGCTCCGAGCCAGGCGCTCCCCTTCTCCGCGCTCCGGATGAATCCGGCGCTAGACGAAGCCGAGCGGCCCTTTTGTTCCAGCCCTCAGCGCTGACTCGTTCTTGTCACTGCACTCAGTGCACTGAGCTCTGATGTGCTCAGTGCACTGAGCCCACCGCCCGTTTTCCTGCCGCCCCATGCCCCGGGGCCGCCTCATCCTGCCTTCCATCCTCCCGAGGCTCCTGCGGATCCAGTCCCTTTTCATCGGCCCCTCTCCCAACCCCTGCTGCTTGGAAAAGCGGGGAAGCGGCTGGGAAAAAGGCAGGTGTGCAAACAGCCCCGGCTCCCTCGCGCAGCCCACGTGCTCCGGGCTTGCAAGATGATCTTGAAACAACAAACTCGGGGCTTTCTATCCCTGTGGCTGCGCGGGCGCTCCTGGGGCCGGGATCCCCATGCTGCCCTTCCCGGGTGCTGCTGCTCTTGGAGCCCGCACACGGGGCTGCCTCTGCGCCGCCTCTAAATGAGCGTTGATGATAAATGAGCAATGAGCCGCTCCACGGGGAGATGCTGGCGCGGTGGCCAGCGCAGGCTGCTTTCTGCTGCCACAGCCCTCCTGTAACTGCTGCTCCAGGCAAAAGCCTTTTCCTGGAGCGTGTGCCTTCACTTATCCAGAGCCCTTGGAAGGAAGGCTGCAGCTGGATAGCCTGGCTCGGCTGCAGCGTGTGCAGGGCGCGTGCGAGGAGGCCAAGGACAACAGAGCCCTTCGGCGGTGCGCAGGCTGGAGGAGGCGCCAGCGGGGAGCGCACGGCGCCTGCCGGAGCTCACACCTGCCCTGGGCACCACGGGCAGCCCTGGCACCACGGGCGGCCCTGGTCTCCACTTGTTCCATTTCTGCCATTTGCTTCCCCTGCTCCTTGCAGCCGGGCTCTGCGTGGGGGAAAGGGGAGGGCTGGGAGAACAGGGCCGCGGGCGCAGCGGTGTCTGCAGCGGTGCCCCTGCCCGCACGGAGCCGCGAGTCACCCTGCCCTGCGGCCCGACGAGCTGCCTGCAGCCCGTGTCCCACGCGCTGGCCACGAGCATCTGCCGGGAGCCGGGGAATGAGGCCAGGGAGGCCCCGCAGAGGCTCCCACAACCCGCAGCCAGCCCCGCACTCCAACGTGAGCTTGGACACCAGCAGCAGGAGCAGTTTGCTGTGGGGGTTCCCTCTTGGGGCTGGTGCTGAGCGAGGAGAAGGGCTGGTTCCCGCCGCCTCCATCCCTTCCCGGCAGCACCGGCAGTGTCTGAGCATCGGGGAGGCCGCCCCAGCGCTCGTTGCTCCTGGCCCCTCTGCAGAGCCCCCGGCGCTGCCCGCGGGCCCTTTGGGATGGACTAATGCAAACAAGGGGAGGAAGCGGGAGGCCAGGGCCGGGCCGCCCACAGGAAACACGGGATCAGGACACTAGCTGGATTGTGCGGCCCTGCGCACYGCCCGGCCCGGCGGGGCTGCTTACAACGCGGTGCGTGGAAACAGTGCCGGGGGCAGCCGGCACCGCTAGCGCCCGGGCACCACGGCCTGAGGGCTGCTGTGTCAGGCACCGCTCTCCTGGGACTGCCCCGCGGGCGCCGGGTAGGAGGGGATGGGGGCTGCAGGGTGGTGGGGATGGGGGCTGCAGGGTGGTGGGGATGGGGGCTGCAGGGTGGTCTTTCTGGGGCCAGGACAAGTCTCATGCTGCTCTGCCCTCCTCTTTGCCGAGGATTTCCCATAGGATTTGGGGCTGACCCCCGTGTGTTTCGTCTCCCCTGCAGGCTAGCGGGCACAGCCTGGTAGGGTCCATCTCGGATAGAAGCGGATGATGCCAGAGCTATGACAGGGACTGCAGTGTTGGCACGGAGGGGTGATCAGTCATGGAACAACTACAGGAGGAAGTACCTGAGGTCAGGGAAGAGGAGGAGGAAGAGGAAGAGGCAGTGACGGAGGCAAGCGGAGCCACGGAGCCGAGTGCAGGAGCAGAGAGCTCGCTGCCTTGCAGCAGCTACACAGGTGAGCGTGGCCCGCGGGCCCGGCACAGAGCGGGGGACAGCAATGGGACAGGGACGGGAACTTGTGCGGTGACAAGGGGACTCACTGCGGAGCCGCCGGGAGACAGAGGTGGGCGGGACAGACGGGCGACAGTGTCCCAGGGCGCCCAGGGGCCTGGAACACTTCCCTTCGGGAGCCTTCCGTGCGGCAGAGYGCAGGCTCCGGGAGGAAGTTCTGCTGCTGCTGAAGAGCCTCCCGTGGAGCCCTGGGCCATCCCGCTCGGCTCGGCTTTGCCAAACGGCCAGTATTGAATTAGCTGATTGGGTTCCGCTGCCGAGACAGGGATGCCAAAGGGAGGAAACAGACCTGGCTGTGGCGGCTGCTTAGGGCCCTTGGCTCCATTGCACGGCCTYGGTCTGTAGCCTGTGCCCGTCCCGTGCCAGTGCTGGTGCCCCTGAGGAGCCAGTGCCCGTGCCCACGGGGACATGTCTCTGTGCCTGTCGCAGACCTCTCGCAGAGCTCCTCGCCCTCGCTCTCGGACCAGCTGCAGATGGGCTGCGAGGAGGTGGCGCTGAACGTGGAGTGCAGGGTGTGCGGGGACAAGGCCTCGGGCTTCCACTACGGCGTGCACGCCTGCGAGGGCTGCAAGGTAGGCCCAGCTGCTCTAGCCACGGTGCCCCCACCGCGCTCCACCACGTAGGCAGATCCTCGTGTCCCCGCGGGGATCCTGGCTTTGCTTCTGGGGGTGCTGTGTGCCGCGCTGCGCGGCAGCGAGCCGGGCGTTCCCCCGGGATAGCTGGCTCTGCTGGCTTGTGCCTCGGGGGCTCTTTCCCCCTCAGCAGACCGCACTGGGACCGTGTTAGGTGGCCCCGCTCCAGCCAGACATCCCTGCAGGCCGGGCAGGACTGCAGCCTGCAGTCTGTTCCTGCATCCCTCCCTGCTGGACACGGGCAGTATAGCACAYGCAGCGCCCGCTCCTGCCCCACAGCCGCCTTCCCGCCTGAGCTCTGCTCGGGACACCGTCCCGCTACCCTGCACCCGCCCCTCTCGGCTCCCGCGGGATGGGGTCAGCACCGTCCCGGGGCGCAGCCGCTGACGCTGCTCCCTGTCCCCCCACGCGGCGCCCGCTCCCACAGGGCTTCTTCCGCCGCACCATCCGCATGAAGCTGAAGTACGAGAAGTGTGAGCGGAGCTGCAAGATTCAGAAGAAGAACCGCAACAAGTGCCAGTATTGCCGCTTCCAGAAATGCCTCTCACTGGGCATGTCGCATAACGGTGAGTGTCGCAGGGCCGCTGGCACCTCCCGCCTGAGCCCGCAGGGCTGCCGGGCAGTTCGCTTTATCTCTTGATGTTCCTCTTGCTGGAGAATCCCGCTGCTCCAAGCCCAGCACGTGGGGCTTTGACTCCGCACCCCTTTCCTCCGCACCACAGCGGGCCTGTTCCCTTGCAAGGACGTGTCCCACTCACTGGCCCTGGAGCCAGGTGTTTCATGCCACCTTGCACCAGGGGTTTTGTGCCACTGGTTCCTGCCTTGCAGGCTGTCTTGCAGCCACTTGCTGTGGCTTCAGCAGTTAGACACGCAGGCTGCTCTCCTGCCTTGCAATTTGTAAACGTTGGGCTTTTGTAGCCATCTTGTTCCTGGCCTAGCCAGGATATTTATCAGAGGAGAAGAGCTTGTGAGAGCGCCCAGATGAGAGGCAGGGAGAGCTTTAGCAGGAGCCTCTTTTGCCAAGGGCAGCAGCAGGGGCTGCTCTGTCACGATGTCGACGCTGGTGGAACTAGAGCCCAGCAGGGCTGCAGGACGGAGACGCTTCGGGTGCACTCCGGAATTGGAGCCCGGCAGGGCGGCTGGACGGGGTGGCTTCAGCTCTGCTCCAGAATTGGAGCCYGGCGGCGCCTCCCTCAGCCCTTCCCGGCCTCCCTGACGCTTGTGCCGATCCCCCGCAGCCATCCGCTTTGGCCGCATGCCAGAAGCGGAGAAGAGGAAGCTGGTGGCGGGGCTGACAGCCAGCGAGATCGGCTGCCAGAACCCGCACGTGGCCGACCTCAAAGCCTTCTCCAAGCACATCTACAGCGCCTACCTGAAGAACTTCAACATGACCAAAAAGAAGGCGAGAGGTATCTTGACCGGGAAGGCCAGCAGCACCCCAGTAAGTTCCCTCCCCAGGACAGACAGGGCCGGTGGCGGCCAACACGGGCGCGATTCTCTTGGCCATGCTCCACACCTCGGTCCTGCTCCAGCCATCTCGCACGCATCGTCACCGGCTGCGGCCAGAGGGGCCCTGTCAGCCCTGTCCCGCGCTGGGAATATTCCCCTTTGTCCGCCAGCTTGCGCTGCTGCGCGTGGGTGTGGATTGCTTGGGTGCTGGGAGCCCCGGTGGGGAGCGCACAGCCAGGGTGCCGCAGGGATGGTGGMGGAAATGCAAAAATGTCCTCGTGGCTCCAGTGCCCCCGGCTGCTTTCTCATCGCTTGCTTCTCTTTCAAGCAGCCGTTTGTGATCCACGACATGGACACCTTGTGGCAGGCAGAAAAGGGGCTGGTCTGGAAACAGCTGATGAACGAGATCCCCCCCTACAAGGAGATCGGGGTCCACGTCTTCTACCGCTGCCAGTGCACCTCGGTGGAGACCGTGCGGGAGCTCACYGAGTTCGCCAAGAGCATCCCCAGCTTCGTAGGCCTTTTCTTGAACGACCAGGTGACCCTGCTCAAGTACGGGGTGCACGAGGCCATCTTTGCCATGCTGGCCTCCATCATGAACAAGGATGGGCTGCTGGTGGCCAACGGGAACGGCTTCGTGACGCGCGAGTTCCTGCGCAGCCTGCGCAAGCCCTTCAATGAGATCATGGAGCCCAAGTTYGAGTTTGCCGTGAAGTTCAATGCGCTGGAGCTGGACGACAGTGACCTCTCGCTGTTTGTGGCTGCCATCATCCTCTGTGGAGGTGAGTGGGCGCTGGYAGCTGCTGGAGCACTGGGAGGAGCCCTTCCTTCCTTGGGAGGAGTGGGGGCCATGTCGACATGGTGGGGATGATGTCTCCAAGGGTAAACGTTTCCCCTCTTGTCTGCTTGGGCAGCTGAGATGCTGCYGGGGGGGCTGCGGCTCTGTCTGCATTTTCCCAGGGGCAGTGCGTGCACGGGAGGATCTGCCACCCCCTGGCTACCTTGTGTCCCCCTCCCACAGACCGGCCCGGCCTCATGAACGTGAAGCAGGTGGAGGAGATCCAGGAGAACATCCTGCGAGCGCTGGAGTTTCACCTGCAGAGCAACCACCCGGACGCTCAGTACCTCTTCCCCAAGCTGCTGCAGAAGATGGCCGACCTGCGGCAGCTGGTGACCGAGCACGCGCAGCTCGTGCAGAAGATCAAGAAGACGGAGACAGAGACGTCTCTGCACCCGTTGCTGCAGGAGATCTACAAGGACATGTACTAAGGACCCATTATTTATGAGAGACCGAAGCCATGGATTCCCAGCAAAACTCTTTGTGCAGACACAGAGAGAACCCTGCCCACGTCTTCCGTTTCTTCTCCTGGAAGCTTTTCTACGCATTGCTGACATACGGTACGGAGGGCGAGATGCCCTCAGGTCCTGCAGCCGGGAGGCCAGGCCTTCATTAGCACAAACTAACGAGCGGCCGGGCAGCCCGGGCGCTGCAGGCTCTGCTGTGGCCCTGCTCTCCCGCTGCTCCCGCTGGGCGCGGGGCCAGCACCAAGCGGCAGCACTTACAGCCCCTCTTTATCTTCTCTCTGTGTTGCACTCTGAAGACGTAGTCCTGAGCCGCGAAGTTTAGGACAGCGTGAGGAAAGGAAACCTCTCTCTTTTCCAAAGGAAAGCGGGGAGGTATCTGCAGACGGGTGGAGCTGTTTCAGCAGGAGAGGGAGACCCTCGGCTGCAGCCGCCTCGTGCTCGTAGCTGCAGCAGGAACCGGGTGCCCTCATTGCAGGGCTGTGCGCAGCCCTCGCCGCTGTGTGGCCCTTGGTTCGGGTGCAGGGCCGCCCTGGGCACCCCCTGGTGCGGCAGGGCCGGGCGGGAGGGCCGGGCTCTGGCACAGGCCAGGGCTCCTTTGCTGAGGCTGCCCCCAGGCCTGCGGGTTTGGGGTCTAACAGCCGCCCGGGCTGCAGGTTTGCGGTGCAAGTCCCTGCCCGGGCAGGTTTCGCAGCGCGGGACCCTGCTGTGCTGCCTGTGGCCGGGACGACCCCGCAGCTCGTGGGCTGCCACAGCCGCGGAGCRGGCGCCAGCGCGGAGATGCTGCAGACCCCGAGGCACCCGGGTGGCCGTTCCTGCCCCCTGCGCTCACYGTTAGCACCGGGGGGGAACGGAGCCGGGCTGCGGCTGCCGGTGACGAGCAGGACCCCGGCGCTGCGGTCGKTGTCTCCTGCGGCGCACGGGGCTGGAGCCCAGCTGGACGGCACCAGCTGCCCCCGCCACAGGCTGCGGYGCCCGAGCCGCCTCGCTAGGCCCGCCTGCCCCGCGGCCTCGTGCGCTCCCTCGCTCTGGGGCTATTTCTCCTCTTCGTCAGGGAAGTGGATGCCCCCCGGTGCAATAAACCGTTCAAAGCCAAGGGGAAGAGCCCTCACAGCCCCCAGAGCCACACATCCCAGGGCGGCTCCGGCCCCTCTCCATGCATCTGCTCCCGGCAGCAGCTCCGGGCCCTCTCCGAGGGCTCGTTCCCTGCCGCTCCCGAGCAGCCCTTGCAGCCCTCTCTCTGAAGCACTTTGAATCCTCACGGGGTGGCGGCCGCGTGGGCCTTGCAGCCGCCCTGGCCGGCGGCCTCGTGCGGCCGCCACCCACGGGACCCTCTGCGCTTCCCTCCTCACACAGCGTAACAAGCCTCAAACTGAAATGTATATTTTTGCTAGAAGTACAAACCTCCAAGTGTTTTTAATAATATAAACAGCATACACAGACGGACTTGACTTTAAATAAACCTGAGCTGAGTATTTAAGTGCCTGGCCAGCGCTCTGCCGGCCTTTCCTCGGGGGTCTGCAGCTCCCCAGCCCGGGGGCAATGGCGAGGGCTGGGCCTGGGCCGTGGGCGTCCTGCCCGGCCCTCCCGGYGACAGGGACGGAAAGGGACAATCCCTCCTTCCCGCGCCGGGCTCGCGTTTCAGCCGGAACCTTTTCCCGCAGGAAACAAGGGCAAATCCCGCTTGGCTTTACTCGCTTTCCCTCCCCGTGTTTGCTGTGCCGCCCGTGCGGCGGGGCCGGGCCCTTGTCCCGCCGCGGGGTGCGGGGCGCCGGGCGCGGCCTGGGGGCAGGGGCCGCGCTCGGCGCCCCCCCGCGGCGGCGGGGAAGGGGTTAAGGCGGCGGGGCGGGTGCGGGGCCACCTGGGAGGGCCGCGCTGCCCCCTCCCTGCAGGGCCATAAAGAGCCGCGGGGGGCGCGCGGCCCCAGCGCCTGCGCCGCCCGCGCCATGGAGCGGGGGGGCCGCCCGGCGCCGCCGTGCAGGTAGGAGCGGGGCCGCCGGCTGCCCCGCACCGCGGCCCCGGGGGGGTCCGCGGCGCCGCCGCCCACGGGCGTCTCTCCGGCCCCGCAGGAATTTCGCGCGCGGCTCCTGCCGCTGGGGCCAGCGCTGCCGCTTCGCGCACGCCGGGAGAGCGGCCCGGGCCTGCCGCTACTTCCAGAGCGGCCTGTGCAGCTACGGGGAGCGCTGCGGGTGAGGCCGCGCTGCGGGCGGGGGCCGGGCCCGGTGCCGCGGAGCCGCCCCCGCATCCCCGTGCGCCCGCCCGCCCGCAGCTACCGGCACGCGTGGGAGGAGCCCGGCGGGAGCCCCGGCGCCGCGGAGCCCCCCTGGCCGCCGCCGCCGCCCGCCGCCCCGCAGCCGGACAGGGAGGACAAGGGCGGCCGCGGGGCTGTCGCTGGAGGCCCCGTCCCTGCGCAGGGCGCATCAGGTAGGCGCGGGGGGCCGCGGGGCCGCGTCCCGTGCACGTGGCCGGCGCCTTGGAGCGGGGCCCGCGGCTGCTCCGTGGGCGCCCCGCGCTCACGGCCGGGGCGCTCGTCTGTCCTCAGGTTCCAGGGAGCCGGGATGGCGCCCGGCCCCATCGGGCCGCGGGCAGGCAGACGCGGTGACACGAGGCCGGCGCACGGACACCGGGGCCGCGGGGTGCCCGGAGCGTGGTCGGGCCGCGTGTGACCCGTGTCAGCCCCGCTCGCGGGCAGGTGCTGCGGAGCGCAGGGCGCAGAGCGCGGCCGTCGCCTGCGGCATCTGCATGGAGCGCGTCTACGAGAAGGCGCTGCCCGAGGAGCGGCTCTTCGGCATCCTGCCCAACTGCGGCCACGCGTTCTGCCTGGCCTGCATCCGCCAGTGGCGCCGCAGCCGCGACTTCGAGGCCTCCGTCATCAAGTGAGCCCTGAGCGCGGTGCCCCGCGCGCCGGGCCCTTTGGGTTGTGCCCTGCTCTGGGCCCTCCTTGTCCTCGGCCCCCCTGCATGTGCTGCCTCCTGCCAGGGCCTGCCCTGAGTGCCGCGTCACGTCCAGCTACTACATCCCGCACAAGTACTGGGTCTCGGAGGCCGAGGAGAAGGAGAAGCTGATCGAGACCTTCAAGGCGCGGACGGGGTGAGCACCAGCGCTGTGTCTCGGCTGCATCCGCGGCTTTTCCAGCCCCCCAGCATCTAATGGTGCCTCTGCATCTCCTAGGAAAATCCGGTGCAAGTTCTTTGTGCGGAACCGCGGGCACTGCCCGTTCAAGTCAGACTGTATCTACCTCCATGAGCTGCCGCCCGGACGGACCCCTCGGCACCGGCGGCGGCGGCATCGCAGGGTCCCGGTGAGTGGCAGCTCCCCCGGCTCCRCATCCCCCGCTCCCGCTGGGGCTCAGCCTTGTTCCGCACTGCAGGAGTTCGACCCGTTTCTGCTGGAGAGCTCAGACGAGGAGGAGGATGAGGAGCTCTGCGCCCTTGAGTGGGCTCTCACGTGGGCACTCATGGATGCCGAGACCCGGGAGTCCACGTACCGGCTCTTCATGGACCTCAGCGACTCTGACTAGGTGCCCTCTGGCTGCCGGAGGGACCGACCGTGTCCCCTGCAGGCRGAGGGGCTGCAGTGGCCCCTTTGCAAGGGGGCACTGTGGCCCCTTTGCTGTGGCGGGATGTCCTGCTGGGTGCGGGGCCAAGGCGGGGGGCTATTTTAATGCATGTGCAGCCGGGTGGGGGGGAAGCAGCTGTGCTGCACGGTTTTAAACCGCTTTTTTAAAGCCTAGTGTGGAAACGATGAAATAAACTGAKCTCTGCGTAATGCTGCTGTGTGGGACCGTCCTTCCGGGAGGTGCCGTGGGAGGGGGGAGCGGTTCCTTTAAGGGGTGGCCCCCTTAGCGCGCGGTAAAGTAGCACGTGACCTCATTTGCATAGAGWGATTTGCATACGTGGCGCGGGAAGCGCGCGGTGGGCCGGGCGCGGAGGGAGGCTCCCGGTGCCGGCTCCCGGTGCCGGCTCCCGGTGCCGGCTCCCGGTGCCGGCTCCCGGTGCCGGCTCCCGGTGCCGGCTCCCGGTGCCGGCTCCCGGTGCCGGCTCCCGGTGCCGGCTCCCGGTGCCGGCTCCCGGTGCCGGCTCCCGGTGCCGGCTCCCGGTGCCGGCTCCCGGTGCCGGCGGAGGTACCCGTGGAACGCGCGGTGCCCTTGGAGCAGCTGGAGCGGCGGGTGAGCCCCACGTTAGTGGGGGGGCAACTGCTCGAGGTGGGTCTTGATATTTCGGGATGTTTCCTGTTTTGCTTTCAACTTCTTACTTGTTTTTAGGGTTGGGGAGCGCTCCCTCCTTTGGCACAGGAACAGCCTGCTGATGGTCCTGTATCCTCGGGTGACAAACTGACCACGCGCACCCTGGATAGGGCGACCACCTGTGGCTCGGCTGTGTCCCAGCTGCTCCCCTCCTCCTCGCATCCCAAATCGGACTCTGTTGGATTTGTCCTTCCTCATGGAGCAGCCGTGGTTGGAGCGGCTGGACCAGCCGTCGCGTCTCCTGCTGCACGCGCTCGCCTCGGGCTCRGCCGGCACTCTGGCCGCGCTCCGCGTGCTGCAGCGCGGCCGGGTCGGAGACGGCCCCACGTTCTCCTGGCAGGTTTTCACGGATGCCCTGTGCTCCGAGGAGCCTACGCTGGAGGGGCCAGACAAGATCCTGGCTGTGTGAGTTGGGTGGTGGGAGCTTCCTGAGGCAGTATCCTGGTGGGTTGGTGTGTTGAGCATCCCCTCCCGCAATGTGTGGTCTCTTCCCTCCGGTGTGATGCTCCAAAGGGGAAGTCRCATCCTAGCAGGAGTGGAGTTATAGGATCATTATGGTTGGAAAGGACCTGGGGATGGAGGCCCATAACCTCTTTGCCCATGTGTGTATTAACGTGGGTCCCTAGCACTGTGTTGAGGTGCTGTGGGCGCCGCGAGGCTGGCGCTGCCGCTGCTCCAGCGCCGCCTGTCCTAAGGCTGGATGCTGCTCCGCGCGGGCYTGTGTCTTCATGTGTAGCCATACAGCTTGCCCTGCATGCGGCGTCTGGGCGCGATGCCGCAGGGCCAGAGCCCCGTGGCGCCTGGCGGGCTCSGCTCCGACACTCCTCTCCCCTCGCTGCAGCAGGCCGCGGCTGCTGCTGCTGCCCGCCGTGTGCCAGAGGAACCTGCTGTGCGTGCTGCGGGTGGCGGCGGTGCCGCGCGGCTGCAGGAGCCGCCTGCACCGTGCGCTGGCCTCGCACCCCAGCCTCGAGCCCTGGGTGCGGGCGCTGGCGCAGCTGCTGCCGGGCGCCCCGGAGCCGCCGGCCCGGCCCACCCTTCTCACAGCCGCTGCACAGCAGCGCCTCGGCCGCCTGCGCCGCGAAATCCTGGGCCACGCGGAGGGGCCGCGGCGGCCACGCTGGGGCTGGGACCCTGTGCTGCGCCGGGACACAGCYGAGCATGGGCCTCACGGCGGGAAGCGCAAGGAAGCGGCCGAGGAGAGCCTGGAGCGGGAGCAGGAGAGGCCAGGGAAGCGGAGACTGCGGGAAGAGGCTGCGTTGGGGCCGCCCCTGCCCATGGTGCACGAGGAGCCCTCGGCGCCGCCGGGGGACGGCTCCGCACCAAGCCCGGCCGGCTGCACTCCACGACATTCCCAGCAGGATGGGGATATGGAGCTGAGCGTGCGGGCGGAACAGGCAGCCGAGCTCCAGCTCTTCATCCAGGTACCGGGGCCTTTGGATCCCCTCGGCATTCCGGTTCCGCCCATCCCTGCCCATTTCCTTAGCTTTCCCCACCTTCCCCTTTCCACGCGCGGGATCCCAGGCTGCTGCTCAGCTCCATGAGATGGGAAATTGCTCTGCAAGGCAGACATGTCACTAACTGGCCTTTTAATTGGCCTCCCACTGTCTTTTCCCTGGAAATTGGGCAAGGAAGCTGAGCTAGCAGCGCGCTGCTAGGGGGACTTGCTTTCCTTCTCCACCCAGGGCACCGATTTCTCCTTTAAAATCTCCTTTTTTTGTTGTTTCCCATCTCTTTTTCCCCAGCTGCACGGGCCTAAGCTGAAAAGGCTGCTGCAGATGGAGACGCCCGTGAGTGAGCTGGTGCTCCGGCTGGGCCAGCCCAGGGCCTCCATGGAGGCCTGGAGGGATGTTGAAGGCGACACGGCCTGCACTGCCCCCAGGCTCAGAGGCCAACGTCGTCCCTGAGCGTCACCGTGCGCTGGGTGCTGCGGTGCCGGTGCTGGGGTGACCCCATGGCCCAACTGGGAGGTGGGAAGGGGACCACAAGCCCTGGGCTCTGCTCTGGCTGGCCGGGCGGCCACGCGCCTGTGCTCTGGTTGGATGGGGATGTGTCCCCACACAACCCAAGGATCCCAGGGATTGCCTCTCCCCACAGTCCTCAGAGCTGCCCCTGCCGTCTGAGCTGCACGTCCTCCTCGGCTRCTCTCCCGGGCAGGTGAGTGCCAGGGCCCTGCGGCAGCCGCCGGGTGCCCACTGCGCGTCCTGACCCGCTGTGCCCGCCAGCTCGAGGGGCTCTGCTCCTTCCTGCAGCTCTCCAGCTGCCCCGAGCGGCTCCTTGTGCGGTTCTGCTCCTGGCTGCTGGCTCTGGCCCCGGACCTCAGCTACGCCAGCGCGTCTATCCTGGCAGAGCAGCTCTTCCTCACGCGAGTGAGTGTCCTGGTGCCGCTGCCGGCTCGTCCTCCTTTCCCCGYGGCCTCATCTCCTGCTTCTCGCTCTTGTCCGAAGGTCCTGGCGCTCACCCAGCCGCCCTCCCGCCACCTCATGGCTGCCCTGGCTTCCTTCTGCTCCAAGTATGCCCTGCCTTTCTGCCGCATCCTGGTAGCTCCAATCCTGCAGGAGCCTGCGGGAGGTGAGCTGGGCTCCTTGCGGTTGTTGGGAGATACCTTGAGGGGCTCCATCCACCATAAAAGCAAGCTCTAGCTGCAGAGGGCCTGCAGAACACCCCTGGAGGGGTGTTCACTACCTAAAATGCATATTAAGAACCATAGGGGGCCTGTTTAGCCTGGAAAGATGAACACTTGGATGTTAGGAGTCCCTGCTGCCATGTTCACTTCCCTTTGGATGGAGGACATGGATTCACAGATGCCTGAGGTGAACAGGGATGGGAAATGTGGCTGTGTCTCGTGGATGGAAGCTGCCAGCCCTCCACAGTCCTGGGGCGTCCTGACAGCTGGAATTGGGGGCCAAAGCTTCCCCTGAGGTGGCTCTGTGTGTATGGAAGAGACTACAGGATCCTRCAGGGGCTGAGCATCTCCCTGCAGGGGGCACAGGTTAATGGTGCTAACTAAACCCTTGCAGACGGGCAAGGGAAAAGGGAAGAARGGGAATTCTCCCAAGTTTTTACAAGGGTCTGATTCCTGGGTCACATCACCCTGGGTGAGGGGGCRGGCAAATCCCTTTGGATTTGGCAGCCTGCAGAGGCTCTGCACCCACGCTTTGCCCCGGCAGGGCCCGAGCAGACCAAGCTGCTGTGTGAGCTGGTGGAGGAATGCCTGGAGCCGGAGCACGTGGCGCTGGTGCTCAGGTAAAGGGATATGGGGCAGAGTGCGCTGCTGCGCCTCTGGTCCCTCCCTGGGGGAGAGGCGGCCGCRTGCTGCCCTTGCAACCGTGTCCCCATCTCCTCCGCAGCCAGGTCCTGGAGGTGCCTCTGTCGGAGCGGCTCCTGCCAGTCGTGCAGGCGGTGCTGGCGAGGCAGGTGAGGGCTGTGTGGCGGCGCGGGGCGCAGGGCGCGGGGCCCCGCTCATGCTGCTCTGCCAGGAGGCACTGTCCGCCGAGCTGCTGGAGCTGCTGGTGCTCGCGCTGTGCCGCCAGGCGCCGGCCCTTGCCGCCTCGCTGCGTTATGCCAAGCTGCTCACGGCGCTGCTCACCCTGCACCAGAGCCGCGTGAGTGTGAGCGCTGCTTAGGCCCACGGCTGGATTYGGGCTCCCGAGGGGGCCTCCTGACTTGCTCCCAAGAGCCGGGTGCAGGGTCATGGCGAGGCTCCCGGGGACGCGCTGGCCGCCGGTGAAAGGGTGCATGGCGGCCGGCGCTGAGCAGCCTGCCACTGTCCCGGCAGGTCACGTCAGCGCAGCGGGGCCGCCTCTCTGCCGCCCTGGCGCGGAGCGGTGTGGCACTGAGCAGGCCACTGCAGGCGCTGCTGCAGCCAGCGCCACCGTGAAAGCCCAGCGGGGCGCCCATCGCAGGGCCCGCCGCAAGGCAAAGCGGGTGAGATGCCACAGCGGGGGCTCGCCATGGGGCCACCTGCTCCTGGGAGACCTCTGACTTCTCTTTGCAGGTGACAGCAGGGGAGCACCAGTTTGCAGGAATCTTTGAATTTGGGGAGTTTTGCTATGGGCCCTGCGCCTTGAAGACCGGCTGGGCTGGGAAGGGGTTGGAGCACAGCGAAGTCCTGACACCCACGGAGGGTACGAGAGAATCCAGAGGGGCCTCAGTGCAAACRCGCTCAACATGGCGCTCCCGCCCCGCCCCGCTCAACATGGCGCCTCCTCCAGCCCCGCCCCGCTCGAGATGGCGTCTCGTCGCCCCGCCCCCTTCGAAATGGCGCTTCCCGCCTCCCTCCCTTCCGTCCCGCCCCGCTCAGGATGGCGTCTCCCGCCCGTTCCCCTCCCGTCCCGCCCCGTTCAAGATGGCGCCTCCCGTCTCCACCCATCCGTCCGTCTCGCCGCGCCCCGCTCAAGATGGCGCCTCTCTGCCCGCCGCGCGCCAGAGGGCGCCACCTGCCGCCTTCTCCAAGATGGCGGCGCGGGGGGGGTGATGCCAGAGGGGAGGCTGGTCCCAGATATTTCCACCGTATTCCAGTGGAATATCCCAGATATTCCATTCTGTGTGGTAARCTTAGCAGTTACAACAGAGAGAAAATGCCCCGGATGGTGCTAGGCTGGGTGTCCTGCTCATGCCCAGCCGCCTCTGTGCCCCATAGAAAGCRGCCATGGCTCAGTCGTGCTGAGGCACCCTCTGTCCTTCATGTCCTCCGCACGTTGCAGCCCCGGTGTGGGAATCAATGGGAGGCTCCTGGAGGGCGATCGTTATCAATTGGGTTTAACTGGCTGCTGTAATTCTGTAGCGGCTGCGGTGAAGCACCAKAAAGGCGGTGAAGTTGTGCCTGGTTAATAAAGCGATTGTTTTGATCTGAGCCCYCGGGCTTGCAAATCTCGTCTCTTTCCCCTTTGAGTTGTCATTTATTTCCATGTCAGGTGCTCCCAGACTTTTCCTGTCCTTGTGGGAAACCGCAAGCACAAGCGGGCACAAGTGGGTTGAATTTTCCTGGCACAAACAGGTGCCTGGTGGCAGCAGGAAAAGGAGAACCTGTGGCATACAGCAGGGAGCTGAGGTTGGGGTGAATTTGACGTTTCTGCCATGGGCYTCCCTCTTCTCCAGTACTGCTGCAGCCCAAAGCCCCCATGGCTGGCCTTGGACATGGTGCTGTGAGGGATCCACAAACATTTGTGTCAGTGAAGGGAGATGCATTGGTGTTAGACTTCCCTGCTCATGACGGGCTCCCTGATTGTGAGCCCCCACTGGGGACGGAGACCGAAGCCCTGGGCGATGCCCCCAACAGCCGGAGCGGACGTTTCACTCCGGTGAGAGCCTCCAGAGCTATTTTAGGTGGTATTGGATGGATGGCGGCTGAAAGTGTATGCTAGCTGGAGGAAAGAAATCCCAGGAGAGCCAAATTGCTGATGGATCTGTGTGGCAGCGCCTTCACGCCGGGCCTGGGGAAGCTATTGTAAGGCTGCCCGTAATATGACATAAATAGACATGGGTCTCTGTCGCTAAGGCCTGAGCCCGCTGCTCTGGCTTTATTAGGCTGCAGTCCCTGCAAAGTCTCTCCCAGTGGGAGCCATGGCCGTGGTCCTGTCCTCTGGTGCTCTGCCTGCCTGCGGCTGGTGGTCACGTCAAGGTAGTGGAGCATGGACATGTCCACAGCGTCCCCTTGGAGCTCCCSGGACTGCCTTGGGGCCTGGGTTGGTTGTTGGATGCTGCAGGCTCCTCTGGTGTGGGGCGTCCACAAGGTGACCATTGGGATCGAGAACTGGAGTGAACCCTGTAGCTCGTGGGTGCTGTAGGAGGATGCAGCATGCGTGGTGGCTGCAACACGCTCACAACACCCTTCAGACTCAGCCTGACCTTCCCAAGAGTTTTAAAATCCAGCCTGGACAGTGCAAAGAAGTGGAAGCATAAAATAGCATTCAAGTTTTACAGTTTGGCAGAGCTTTGTGCCCAGGGCTGGCCGGTCCCCTGGGCAGGGTCTGATCAAAATTATTAGAGGAGTGGGTGAAATGAGAGGTCTGAAGCGCTGGCTGCGAGAGGGCTCCTCTGGCTGTAGGCACAAGGCAGGGTATGTTTTCAACCTCGTTTATTCAGTATTTGTGAGTGGTTCCTCCTCAGCTGCTGCTTCTGTTTATAGAAGCTTTATGTCTTTAATGATGGGGAGGGGAACTCCCTTTTTTGACTAATAGTTTTCTTTTAAGGAAATGAATTTTATGCAATAGCCTGGGTGATGTCCTCTGTGCTGTTTCCCCATCCTCCCACAGTACCCTGTGAAAACACAGCCTGGTCACCCATTGATGCTGATATCAGATCCCCGAGAGTCCCTGGCAGGTGGGAGAGGGGCAAGGATCATCAGGCAGAGATGCTGGCAGCACAGAGCCATGTAGGAGCCACCTTGGGCCATGCAGCACCCTGGTGCAGAGGACCAAAAGCCACAGCTAGGAACCATGCAAGCCCCTCGAGGAGCCGCTGCTCTCCGAAATGAAGCTGCCAGCCTGTCCGAGCCGCGGTAGTTGCTCTCGCCCTTGCYCTTGCACTGGTGGGAGCTGTTAAATAGCTGCAGATGACTGAGCTGCTGTGAGGAGCTCTCAGTCTGGCACACACGGATCCCCAGCACATGGGGCTGCAGTTCTGCCCTGGAAGCGGGTCCCGATGCAAGACCCAACTGCTTAGGTGGGAGCTCAGCAGGTGGCAGCGTCTTATTTCCACCTGAAATTTAAAACTAAATCAAAGAAGCAGATATGCTTTTATTATTTTTTTTTCCTATTCTATTTGTTTGCCAGGGACCTTTTAAGCACAACAACAGCACCCTATTCCCACYGGTGTTCTGGCAGCTGCTGGGCACTTGTCCGCTGGGGCCACGCGGTGATGCTCCTGGCACAGGGTCAGGGTTTGGTGCCCGCTGCAAGACTGGCCCCCTGCGCCGACCTCGTAAATCACATTTGCCGCATGAGCCGTAGCCGCCAGCGTGGCTGCGGGCAGCCTTCCGCCCGAGCCCACGAGGGGCTAATCCAGATGACCGCAGGCTCTGCCGCCTGCGGGTGCCTCGGGAGGAGCCCGGYGAGGTGCCGCTGCCGCAGGCGACCGGGGGACCTTGCTGGAAAGGGGAAGGCAGAAGCGGCGGTGGCTGCTCCCGTCCCTGTTGGCAGCTTCTCGCTTCGTCCCCGTTGTCTATGCTGAACAGGTCGGTGCGCGGTGAACCGGGCTATTTTTGCTCATTTAAAGCCCCAATAATACCTAGCTTGTCGTCGTGGTTTAGGTGCTCCCTGGTTTGAAGAAAAAAAAGGCARTGGGGTGGGGAAGAGCCCCGAGGGGTTAACAAATACTTCTCGAGGCTCTTTGGCCGTGATGGTTCTTGTTTGCAGAAAGGGACGAGGCCCCTTCACAAGTCACCACTTGCTGCTGTTTTGRGGTGCTGCTTGGAGCAGGGAGTTTACGTTTGTCTGGAAAAGGTTTTATTTGCMTTTATTAAGTAATAAAACATTTTGTTTAGACACAAACAGAGCCTTGCGCACAGGRGAGAGAAGAGTGGTGCCGTAGCAGCAGGCGCCGTGGGCTCCCTCCACTGAATCTCCGCCAGAAATCAGAGGTTTTTCCCTCTGCTGGGGCCTGGCCTTTCTCTCGGTGGGGGCGCTGAGTTTATCCGAGCTTGGCTTCAGGCCGGGGGCTTGGCTGCATTTAAGAGACGCGTGGGGCAGTGGCCGAGCAGCTGGAAAAGCCGCTGGGAGGGAAGCCCTGGGCTTGGACTCCCGCTGGCACCTGCTGCCCGCTCAGGAGCGCGGAGGTCCCGAACGCTGAGCGACTCCAGGCCCGGCTCCATCCCCGGCTCCAGCTGCAGCTCCAGCCCTGGCTCCAGCCCCAGCTCCATCCCCAGCTCCGGCTGCAGCTCCAACCCCGGCTCCAGCTGCAGCTCCCGCCTAGGCACCAGCCCTGGCCCGGCCACCCGGCGGTCCCCTCTAACCCAGAGCATCCCTCCCGCCTCCCTGTAAGCTCATTATGGGCAGAAAGCAGCTTTAGGGATGTGATGGATTTGGGGGAGGGGGACAAGAGAGACAGGGTCCAAGGAAGAGCTTGGAGGTGCTGGGAAGGAGGGCGGCCGAGGACGGGTGCAGCAGGTGGATGTAAGGGGGCTGCACGTGGATATAAAGGGGCTGCAGGTATATAAGGGGGCTGCAAATGTTTAAGGAGGCTGCATGTATATAAGGGAGCTGCATGTATATAAGGGGGCTGCAGTGCGCAGGGGGTCCTGGGCTCGCTGTCCTGCTCCAAGCCCTCGGCAGAGGGATGCGGAGGGACACGATTGCACCGTGTCCCATTGCCCCCAGCTCCAATTACAGCCCAAGCTTGGGGCACGCGGGCGCAGGAGCCAGTGCCGATGCCGGTGCCGGCCCCGCGGCAGCCGAGGGAGCTCCCGGCGCCCACATGTCCTTTAAAGGCCTCCTGGCGTGGAGCTCTCCCCTGGCAGCGCGCGCTGCCTCACATGCCGGCTGCTCTTCCTCCTCGCAGGCTCCCGCCGGGCTCCTTCCCGGCTTCTCCGTCCTCCATCCCCTGCCGGGATCGCGCCGAGGGCCAGGGAGCGCTGGGGCGGCCCCAGCACCGTCCTCCCGCCGCGCAGGCCGAGCTGGGGCAGGTAACAAGGCAGGGGACATCGGCTCGCGCTGTGGGGACRCCCGGCTCCCCCGCCCAGAGCCCACGAGCCGCCCACCTCAGTGTCCCCCCGACAGCGGAGGCAGCGGCCGCACACCCCCAAACCCCTCAGATCCAAGGGTGGGAACCCCTCGCGTCCCTGCCTGGGCGCCAGCGCGGGTCCCAGCAGTGCCGTCCCGGATCAGCGCGGGCCTCTCCACCTCTTTTCCCACAGATGCCTCCACACTAAGCAGAGGAGCGTGGAGCTACCGCTGGGTGAGAAAAATGCTTTAAAAATATAACATTTAGAGGCGTTCTCCCATCTGCGCACAGCCACCGCGTGCCTCCTGTGGTAGGTGTGCGGGAGCCGTGGGGCTCTGTGCATGAAACCCTTCCCCGAGGCCTCGCTGGGGACAGGGGAGCAGGAGGCGCAGGGACGTCCCCAGGGATACGGGGAGCGGCGGCAGCGAAGCGGGAGCAGCCGGCAGCCCTGCAGGTAGGTGCGGGACGGGTGCCGTGCGTGGAGACTGCGGGATGTCTGGGCATGGGGCTGCTTCTGCAGCAGCTGTGGAAAGGGCCCCGGGCTTGTACAGAGGAGAGGGAAGGTCCCTGTTGCCGGAGCTGGGAGCAATGTTTGGATATCAGCCCCTCCAGCCTTCCCGCTTTCCAACCGGGCACGCGGAGCTGGGATGCATGGGGCCCRTCGTTCCCTAGGGCAGTCTCCCTGTCCCACACAAGCATCCTCCATTCCCAGTGTGCCAGAGCATCCCCGGTCCCCATCSAGCTCCTCCTTGCACCCAGCTGTGGGGCTTTGGGAGCAGCTGGGTCTGCCCGGTGCAGTTTGCGGGGTGGGCGGCTGGCGACGCTGCCCTTCCCGTGCCAGGGACATCAGATGGCGCCCGGGCTCCTCGTTGCACCGCAAACTGCGCTCGGCTCCCGGGCGTGGGGGGGAAACGGAGCGCCGGGAGCCGAACCCAGCTGACTCATTCCTGGCTGGACGCGGCTCGGGAAGGTGCTCGGTGGCCGGCTCGCAGGGCCGGGAAAGGCGCCAAGCGCCGCGGCGAGGGCCGGGCTGCTGGGCACACGCTGGTGGAGCGGGGAGCCGCGGGGCGGCCCCACTGCGGCGCGCGCCGACAAGGGGATGCTGCTGCCCTGGCAGCACCTGGAGGGGCCGGGGGCCGCCCCGCGGGCTCCTCTCTGCCGCGGGAGCATCCTTGGCATCTCCCTGCTGCCCTTCCTGCCCCCCTTGCAGCAGGGAGCGGCAGGAGCTGCCCGCGCTCCTGGCAGCGTCGCAGGAAGGTAGGGGCAGCGCTGGGGGGTGGGTTGCGATTTGTGTGTCCGGGAGGGGGTCCCCCCCCCGGGGCGCTCGGGCAGGGGGAGGCTGCACTTGCCTCCTTGCGTTAAGAGCCGCGATCGATGCCCAGCGGTGCTGCCGCGAGTCCCCGGGTGACTCCCGGTCCGGGCGCTGCTTCCTTGCGCTGGATCCGGGCGCTCCGAGTGCGGCTGGGTGACGTTGACACCCACCTCCGGCACCCTGTCTGTCCCCAGGGAGCATGAGCGGCCGGCGGGGTGGCTCCGAGGGGGCTCTGGCCAGCGGCGAGCGGAGTGCGGAGCATGTCCAGAAGGTGAGCGGGAGGGTGCCGGGGACTGGGGGCTCCTTCCCAGCAGGATGTAGGGACGGCATAGGGAATCTGTGGCACAGGCTCTTGCTTGTGTTGCTCTTTTAGGGAYGCTGCCCAGCACCATGGAGGTATCTCTTTTTTTCCTAGCAGACAGACTTAGAGAGGCAGGAGCTGACTCTGCACCCTGGGAACAGTGACAGGACGGAGGAAGGTGCGTGAGTCCACGGGGCCCCCTTCATGGCTCCAAGTGGCCAGGAATGAGCTCGGGCTCAGCATGGGGGCCCAGCGGAGCTCAGCTCCTCAGCAGGAACCAGGGACCGGATCGGGCCTGGGGCTGGATTGGGATGTCTGATACTCCTCCGGATTTATTGCCGCTTCCCTTGCAGACACGGAGACCCCAGAGGAGCCACTGGGATCCCCTGCAGAGACCTCGCTGCTGGAGAGACTGGGTCTGCACAGGTAAGGCCAGCTGGTGCCCCACGGCTCTGCCCGGTGCGTCCCGGGGACTGCGGCTTTGGGGGCCCCGCTGTGCCCACGCGGCCTCCAACCACCCTCTCCTTTGGCAGAGCGGCTCTGACGGAGCAGGATGTGGAGGTAACAGCGGCGCGGGCGCACGCTGCGGTGGGCAGGGGGATAAGCACTGGCCGGGGCGCAGCCCGTGTCACCGTGGATGCTGTGCCCGGCTGCTGGCCTCCTGCCAGGTACTGCAGTCCCCAGCGTCCTCCTAATGCTTCCTATTTTGGGAAGCACGAGGCGGCTAAAGGGAGCCCGTGCGCGGTCGCCCCGCAGAGCCACTTGCTGGGAGAGGCGGTGCTGGAAGCTGTGCTAATAAAAACAATAAAAAGCGGCCCTTCGGCTGCCGTGGCGGTGTCCTCGGCGTTTCAGGCAGCCCTGCCCTGTCCTCGCCCCCCAGGCCGCCTTCACCCACCTGGCGCTGGCCTTCAGCTGCGACGTGTTCACGCTGCACAAGAGGCTCGAGGTGGAGGAGCGRGCGCGCGCCGCGGCCGAGGACAACATCCAGGAGGAGCTGGGGCAGTGCCGCGCCGCCCTCGAGGTAGCAGCTGCCGGGTGCTGGCGTGGCCCATGGGCACCGCGCAGCGCGGGCTCCATCCTGCCCCTGTGCTCGCAGAGGCTGGGCCGGAGCTGCGTGGCYGCGGACGCCCGGCAGGCGCTGGAGCAGCTGCGGTGCAACCTGGCAGTGCTGGCGGCGGCCGTGGCGCGGGCCACCGGTGCCGCCGAGAAGCTCGGCGCCGTGCACCAGGTGAGCGCCGCGGGACCCTGAGCTGCTGCCGGTGCCGGGCATGAGGCCTCCCGGGGGCTGGGAGGTGCCTTGGAGACCTGTCCTGGGCCCTGGAGGGAGCTGCAGGGACCTGGGTCCCCAGGGCGAGGGTTGTGATTGCTCCCCGACCCACCCAGGAGGCCCGGATGAGCCGCGCGGCCGAGGTGATGGTGCAGCACGTGGAGAACCTGAAGCGGCACCACGCGCGGGAGCACGCCGAGCTCGAGGAGATGAAGCGGCTCATCCAGCAAAACTCCCGCAACCGGCAGCTGGGGGAGGCACAGGGTGAGGCGGGCTCTGCTGCCGGGGCTGGCAGGCTGTAGGATCTGCTCCCAAGCCCCTGCAGGAGCCTGTGCTGCGGAGCAGGGCCCTTGTGCCAGCTGCCTGAGCRGGCTCTGGGGCCGGCGAGAGCTGATGGTGGCCACAGAGGACAAATGCRGGTGGCTCCTGTGGCACCGGGAGAGCAGGGGCCGGTGGCCCCAGGGCCATTGCCCGGCAGCTGCGGCCCGGCTGGGAATGCAGTCCAGGGGGACACAAGGCGGGCACTGTCCCCAGGCTCCAGGGCCCTCCCTGCAGACCCCACACTCATCTCTGTGTGCAAAAAAATCTGCCGACCTGGGGAAACCCACAGCTCATCGCRGGGTGGAAGCTGCACGTGGAGGAGCCCGCGCTCCTGTCCCTGTTGTTTCCCGGCACCTCAGTCCCCTCTGCCTTTAGTCTGGGTGGTTTTTAAGAGTCTTCTCTCCGCCGGCAGATGAAGCGGAGCTGCGGCTGAGGCCTCCCGCGCTGGCACGCAGCTTCCCGCAGGTGAGGAGGGCAGCGGCTGTGCAGAGCGCCCGCGTCCCCGCACGTCCCCCCGCACACCYGCTTGCCGCGGGCCGGCTCTGCTAGCAGGAATCCGGGCCCCAGGAGTGGCCGTCGAGGGCGGCGGGACAGGCAGCGGGGCCGCGCGCCTCAGGCAGCTCCCTCTGCCTTGCAGGGCCGCAGAGCGAGAGCGCCGGGCTTGCCCCGGAGGAGCAGCTCGGACGCGGCGCTGCCCCCCGCGCAGCTCCAGAGGTAGGGGGTGGATCCGGGAGCAGCAGGGACAGTGCCCGCTCTCCGCTTGCGCCCTCCTCCCTCGTCTCCCGGCTTCCCGCWGCGCCGCGCTTCCAGGCCYGGGAAGGATGCGAGSGGCAGCGCCCAGGGCAGCGCCCGCGCAGGAGATGCCCACACGGGTCCCCACTTGTCCCCGCAGGCCTCGGCACGGCGTAGGGTCAGCATCGCCGTCATTCCCAAGCAGCTCTTGGTAAGGATGTGCACGGAACTGGCACGACATGGGAGCAACTGGACCCTGGGCCCTGTCCTTGCTCATGCTCCCATGTCGGTGCCCAGCCAGGTGCCAGCCTGGATGGCCGAGCGGAGCCGGCACATGAGCCCAGCGCCCCCAGGTAATGGTGACAGGCCAGAGGCTCGACGAGGTGCCGGCTGCCCCTTGGCAATGGCCCCGTGTCCCGTCGCCTCCCTCCCCAGGAGCGAGACGGAGCTGCGGAGACGGAGCGGCGTGACGGGGGAGCCCGCGGGCAGCGGGGGCCTGGGCGCCGAGCGCGATGAGCCGGAGCAGCCGGAGCTCACGTGGGTGGCGCAGAGCGGGCATCGTCGTCCATAGTGCCCCTGTCCTGTCCCATGTACCACTGTGGTGTCCCCATGTGCCACCTTGGGGTCCCCACGTGCTGCTGTGGGGTCCTCATGTGCCACCTTGGGGTCCCCATGTGCCACTGTGTGGTCCCCATATGCCACCGGAGAGTCCCCATAGACCAGCCCCATGGGCATCCCTGGCGTGGTGTGGGGAACAGGGCTGTGGGGAGGGAGAGCTGGGCTGCAGCGTTCCTGTCCCCACTTGCCCACAGTGTTGTACGTCCCATGTGCTCTCCAAGGGCTTGCAGAAGCAGCTGGTGACGTTGGGATAAATGTTCCCCAGGTCCTCTCCTTGTCCCTGACAGTCCTGGGTCTCTGCCCCTCTGGATGACAACGGCCTCCGGCCCCTTTCTCCACAGGTCCCAGGTGTCCCTTAAGGAACTGGGGCGACCATGGCTCTTCCTCCCGCAGCACTCGGCCCTTCTGCTCTGGCTGCTTCTCCTGGGCCTTGTCTTCCTCTTCCTCATCCCCATGCTGGAGCTGCAGAAGCTGCATCCCACAACAGCGCCCAAGGCCTAAGTTGAGGAAGCTCTACAGAAGTCAACATCCCAAACTAATAAAATCAGAGAAAAAAAAAAACATGAGGAAGTTTTGTTGTTGGAATTGGGATGGGGGGATGCAGCTGAGGCTGGAGCCTGAGGACGGAGCTTGCCAGCGCTCCAAGTTCTTCCCAGCACCTCAAAGCGTTCACAAACAGAGGGAGCTCTTTCCAATCCCTCAGCAAGTCGGGAAATCGCCAGCTTCCTTGTGGACTGGCCGTGTCCACGTCCTGCTCCGCGCGCCTGGCTCTTGCTGCGGCCGGACTCTGCACCCGGCAGCCCTGCACGGGCTCCGAGCAGCCGGAGCGGAGCCGCGGGGCGCCGGGCACGGCTGCCGCGGGCCGTAGGTGGGCGCAGGCACCGTGTCCGGTGCTGCGGAGCTGCGGGTCCGGCGGCACCGCACGTGACTCACGCAACCCTCGCCCTGTGCCACGGCGTGCCTCTGAGTCACCGTGCCCGCCAGCCTCCGGCGCCTTGTCACTGCAGTCACCTCCCCCCAGGATCCTGGTGGCCCCGTGGGATCCTGGTGGCCTTGGCCAAGCCGGGCAGCGGGGGAACGATGCGGCCACCGGCAACCACTGGGCAGCATCCGACTGGGAGCGACCTTGGCTGACCGAGCGGCTCCATCCTCTGCTCCCAGGTACCGGGTGCCGCTGCGGGGGTCTCACTGCGGTCTCGTCCCTTGTCCTTGCAGCTCGTGTTGGCCTCAGGCTCTGCACGCAGAGGGGCCGGGGCCGGGGCTGCATCCGCGCGGAGCCGCCACCGGCTCCAGGTCTCCGGTTCTGGCTGCGGGAGGAAGTGCAGCTGGAGCAGGAGGCGGCGGGACCGGGGCTGGAGGCGCGAGTGACTCTTGCTTCCCTCGCCCGTGCGCGCGGGCACGGAGCGCTGACGCCGCCAGGGACGGGGACGGCTCTGCCACCGCCCCGGGCACCACGGCCAGCGGGCAGAGCTCGGGCTCCTGCAACGCCCCCGCCAGGGCCTGCCGTCGACAATGGCCTGAAAAAGGAGCATTACGGGAAAAAAAAGGGCAGTTTCTCTGGCGTGGGACGGAGGCAGCCGTGCCCTGCCCCCCGCGCAGCCCGGACGCCTGGGTCCCTCAGCAGCTGGAGGGGGAGGAGAGGGGGATCCGGCGGCCGCCTGCGGAAAGCGCCAGCCTGTTTCCTGTGCGCTCCTGCGCACCCGTGACGCGCAGCCAGCCCCAGGCTCTGCCTCAGTTTCCCCAGCTGCAGGGCCCGGAGGTGAGTGGGGAGCCCTGAGCAGAGCATCCCTGGGGAAGGGACGGGGGACTCTGTCTGCAACCCCTTTTCCTGGAGTCGCTGTGCTGGAAACAGCATCCCACGGGCATCCCTGGTCTCCCACGCCGAGCACTGCTCTGACCCCGGCCCCTCGGCAGGAATGGGGGTTTGGGAAGCGATTTCAGGGGGACATGGGGAGTTTGCTCAGGACTTCCGTGTCCCAGCACTGATGCTGGGACATCCCAGGATGCTCCCTTGGGATGCTCCATGCAGCAGCTCCTTGTCTCCTGGCTGGCGCGGGGCTGTGGGTGGCCCCCGGCACGGAGCCGCTCTGCTCACTGGAGCTCCTGGCCCGTTCCCGTCGCGCTGGAGCCAGCAGGGACCAATGCTCCTGGCTCTGTCACCCTCTCCTAGGGCCCAGCCCTGGCGCGGGGGCCCTGCCCCATGCGCGGGTGCTGCCTCCCCCTGCGCTGGCTCCGCGCCCAGAGCAGCATCCGCGGGGCCGGGTTGGGGCCGGGTGCGGGTTGTGGTTGGCTCCRAGCGCGGCCCGGATGCGCAGCCTTGTGAAACACACACCAGCAAGGGCACCGGCAGCCCCACGGGCTGACAGCGGCCAGGGGAAGGTGGAGGTGCGCGGCTCGGCCCCGCTCAAAAAGCACCAAAAAGCCCCGGAGAAGGGCACGGTTCTGCTTTGCGCCCGCAGGGACCTGCTGTGACATGGGGACAGGAAGCTCCTGCAAAACGCCTCCGGGACTGCAGCTCTTTTAAAAAGGATTCAAATTAGGCCAGATAAGAGGAGTTTTCCATARGATTGGCCAAGGGGGGTTCCCTGCACCATCCCGTGTCCCTGCTGTGAGCGTGGGGACACTGGGACCTTCCAGGGCAGAGGGGCAGAGGGCCCCAGGCCGAGCGTGGTGGCAGTGGCAGAAGCAGCAGCGCTTGTGGCYGGGCAGCAATTGCAGCGTTGCAGAACATTGGAAACAGGATCTGGGGCTGACAGTCCCGAGGGAGCTGCCATCCTGCCCGGAGCTCTCCCTGCCTCTGCGGAGCTGCCCCAACCACTTTGGCGGTGGGAAAAGCTTCTCCCGAGCCCTGGCACGGGGGCCCAGTGGGAACTGGAGAGTGCAGAGAAAAACACAGCAAGCAACGGGCTGCTGATTTCCCCTCACTTAAGAGCCCCTATTCCCTGCTGCTGTCACCGAAGGACAGCAGCGTGGCCTGGGGACAAAGCCCTTCCCGTCCCGTACCTTGCTGCTGCCCTCCCGTGAGCGGCACCACCATGTGCCGCCGTCTGCAGTCCCTGCGCATGGGTGATGCTGGAGCCAGGGCTGGTTCAGCGGGTCCTTGCAGGGTGCAACGGGACCCCCTGCCCTACCTCAGCCACCCCTTGTGTCCTGGGCAGGATGAGTGCCCCAAGCAGTGATGCGGGCAACCCAGCGCACGCTCTCTTCGAGCGGTTCCTGCGCGCCGGGCAGTGCCAGGAGGTGCTGGGCACGTTCGGGGAGCTGCGTGGGCACCTGGGGCTGCAGGGCGCCACGGGGCTCCAGCTCTACCGGGAGCTCAAGGCCGCCCTCAACTCGTGGAGCGCCAAGGCGCTGTGGAACAAGCTGGACAAGAAGGCCGCCCACGGGGACTACGAACAGGGCACAGCCTGTGCCAGCACCAAGGTACCCGTGGGGTTTGGGTGCCATCACGTGCCATCCGCAGCCAGAGCGTCCGCCGGGAGCCCAGCATGGTGCCATTTCTCTTGGAGTGCCCATGGGCTGGGGGGAGATCGCATGGGACARGGGGTCCTTATTTGCAAGCTCCTGGGCTGGCCGTTCCCTTGCCCTGTGTCCTGTGTCCCGTCCTGCCCTTCGCTGGTGCTGGCGGGAGGCCAAGCTCCGGCGTGCTGCTTTGCCAGGGAAAAGCTCCCTGCTCTGCAGCTGCTGGAAGCGGAAACGAGCTCCTTTATCTCGCCCAGCCTTTAATTGCTGCTCTTGCAGCAGTGCAAGGTTCAGGAAGGCAGGATGGTGGTGGGGGCACCCATGGGGTCCCCCCCAAGGCGCTCCCTGTGGTGATTGCTCTCCCAGGGAAGGGGAGGCCGAATCCCGAGCTGGGCTGGGGAGATGCTGCCGCGGTGCTGGGGATCCGCCGGGATTGATCCCCATCGTGTCGGACCCCATCSCCACGCGGCCCGTTTCCCCCTGCAGTGCCTGGTGGTGGGGGCTGGTCCGTGCGGGCTGCGCACGGCCATTGAGCTGGCGCTGCTGGGCGCCCGCGTGGTGCTGCTCGAGAAGAGGGGCTCCTTCTCCCGCAACAATGTCCTGCACCTCTGGCCCTTCACCATCCACGATCTGCGTGCGCTGGGTGCCAAGAAGTTCTATGGGCGCTTCTGCACCGGGACCCTGGACCACATCAGTGAGTGGCAGTGGGGACCTGCTCAGCATCCCTGGGGACACCCCAGCACACCCACCATGGGGCATGAGGACGTGCCGGGGCTGCCCCTCTCCGTGTCCTCGCTCCAGGTATCCGGCAGCTCCAGCTGATCCTGCTGAAGGTGGCCCTGCTCCTGGGGGTGGAGGTTCACATCAATGTGCAGTTCAAGGGCGTCCTGCCCCCGGTCGGCAAGGGTAAGGCATTGGGCTGGGGRGGACACCCAGCACCCTTGGGGACACGATTGGATGGGGCACAATGTCCCCCCGCCACGTGGGGGGACGGGAGGGTTGCTGCTTCCTCCGGGGCAGAGACCCAGCACGCTCGTGACGCATGTGCCGCGCTGCTGTCGGTGGCGCAGGCGGGGGCTGGCGGGCCGCGCTGCAGCCCAGCTCCACGCTTGGCCGCTACTCCTTCGACGTGCTCCTCTCCGCCGGCGGCGGCAAGTTTGTCCCCGAAGGTGAGCGGAGACCGCAGCGGCGAAGGGGGCCCTGCCCTCGCAGCCACCCTGTGCTCATGTCCCCGGCRCCCACAGGCTTCGTGCGCAAGGAGATGCGCGGCAAACTCGCCATCGGCATCACCGCCAACTTCGTGAACCGGCACAGTCAGGCCGAGGTGGAGGTGGCCGAGATCAGCGGCGTCGCCCGCATCTACAACCAGAGCTTCTTCCAGAACCTCTACAACAAGACGGGTCCGTGGCCTGGCCCCACGTGGGTCAAGTGGGGGGCTCTGCCCTGCTGGGTGCTCGTCCCTGTGCAGGGATGTCCCCCTTGGGATGATGGGGATGCTGCATCCCTGCACAGTGCCCCATGGAGAGCCGGGACAAGGGACATTGGAGGGCTCATCTGGCACTGGGGGCTCTCGGTGCTGTTGGGCTCAGCGAGGCTCCTACCTGCACACCAGGTATCGACTTGGAAAACATCGTCTACTACAAGGACGACACTCACTACTTCGTTATGACAGCCAAGAAGCAGAGCCTGCTCAAGATGGGTGTCATACTCCAGGTGAGGAGCAGCATCCCGCTTGGAGCCGGGAGGCACAGACTGGCTCAGATGGGCATCCCCCGGCCATGGGGACATGCCTGTCACCTTCATCCCATCCCCGCAGGACAAGCCGGACACGGAGAGCCTCCTGGCGCCGAACAACGTCAACCAGGAAGCCCTCCTGAGCTACGCCAAGGAAGCGGCCAACTTCTCCACCAACTACTGCCTGCCGCAGCTGGAGTTCGCCCGCAACCACCGGGACGAGCCGGACGTCGACATGTTCGACTTCACCTGCATGATGCGCTCGGAGAACGCGGCGCTGGTGCGGGAGCAGCACGGCAGCCGCCTGCTCCTCGGGCTGGTGGGCGACTGCTTGGTGGAGGTGAGGAACTGCCCCATCACCAGCGGCTGCCTCCCGTGCCTCAGTTTCCCCTCCGCCAAGGAGGCAGGGAGCTGTTTTGACAACCTACAGCCCATCCTGGTGCATGTCCTCATCCCTGCTCCCCACACCAGGATACTTCCCTGATATTGTCCCCGTGCCCACGCCGGGCCCAGGTGCATGGCCTGTGTCTCGCTGTCTCATCCGGCTTTYATCTCCAGCCAAGTGCCGGCAACTCCCGGCCTCCTCCCAGCGCCGCGGCCGGGCGCTGCCGCCCAGACCGGCCGCGTGGCTCCATCCCTGCCCCTGCTTTCCTCCCCGCAGCCCTTCTGGCCTCTGGGCACCGGCGTGGCGCGGGGCTTCCTGGCCGCCCTGGACGCGGCGTGGATGGTGCGGCGCTGGGCGGCCGGGGCGCCCCCGCTGCACGTCCTGGCCGAGAGGTGAGCGGAGCGGCACCGGTCCTGCCCCAGCGCCCAGCCCGGCGCTGCCGGGGTTCAGCCTTGCGCCCCTGCCCAGGGAGAGCATCTACCAGCTGCTCTCGCAGACGTCGCCCGACAACACCAGCAAGAACGTGAGCCAGTACAGCATCGACCCGGCCACGCGCTACCCCAACCTCAACCTGGGCGCCATCAAGCCCAGCCAGGTACTGCCCGCAGCCCTCCCTGGTGGGGAGCAGGGGTGAGCTGGGCCCTGGTTCCCCCTCTGGGTGCTGGTGTGTCCCCCAGCTGGAGTTGGGACCCCCAGGGAGCTGGGGACCCTGGCCCTGTGCAGTCAGGGACCCGTGTGTCCCCCGGCAGGTGCAGGATCTCTACCTCTGTGGCATGGTGGATGTGGACCACAAGGGCAAGAGCACCGAGAGGCTCAGCACAGGTATGAGCAGATGCTCCTGTCCCAGTCCAGGCTCCCCTGTCCCTTCCTGCCAGACCAGGTGTCCTCCCCACCCTCTTTTTGCTGCCGGCTCCTGCCCAGCAGCATCATCCCCCCCTGCACTCCCAACGTGTGGGTCCACATCCCCAAAGTGTGCCCGGGATGCTCGGGTTGCGGCAGCTCCGGGGGACGTGGGCACATCGCTGTGCCCCCCTGCAGTGTCCGGAGACGCCTACGAGGAGCTGCTGAGCTGGTGCCAGGCCAGCACGGGTGGTGACGTGGAGGTGACCGACTTCACGTGCTCCTGGCGCAGCGGCCGCGCGCTCGGCGCCCTGCTCCAGCGCTTCCGCCCCGACCTCATGTAAGCAGCTTGGCCGCTCGCCCGCAGCCCTCGGCCCTGCCGAGCTGGCCCCGCACCGTGCCCTGTCTCTCCATAGGGATTTTGACTCCCTGGATGCGCTGGAGCCCGTGCAAAGGCACCAGAAATTGCTGGACGTGGCAGAGCAGGAGCTGGGCATCCAGCCCGTGCTCTCCAGCGCTGAAATGGCCTCCATGGCGGAGTCCGACCGCCTGGGCCTCATCACCTACCTCAGCCAGTTCTACGAGGCCTTCAAGCCCTCCCCAGGTGGGCACCTCTGGGCATGGCCACGTACCTGTGCCACCCATGGCAGGGGTCCTCCTGACTCCCTCCTGGCGCCCCTCGGATAGGGGATTGGGGATGGCTGGGGCATTCCCCGTCTGGCTGCATCACCTCAGGGTAATCCTGTCCCCTCTTCTTGCATGGACAGAGGATGTCGCCGTGAACTCAGTGCCATCCCGCGGCACCAAGGGTGCCATCCTCTTCCTCAGTAAGCTGCAGAAGAGCCGCAACCTGACGTTGAAGCGTGCCCAGGTGAGGAGCATCCCATCCTGTCCCATGCCATCCCATGCCATCCCATCCTATCCCATCCTGCCGCACCACTGTGGGCCCGGGCTGGCTGCCGGGCCCGCTGTCATCCCCCTGCTCCGTGTTGCAGGATGGTGCCCAGAAGGATGCCAAACCCAAGAGGAGCCGCCGGGAGGCAGAGGTGGGTTCATGCAGGGACAGGCTGGGTGGCAGGAAAAGGTGTCTGTGTCCCCAGTGCCCTCTGGCAGGTTGTCCCCATGTGGCTCCATGGACAGGTCGTGCCTGGCCTTATCCGTGGGTGGCTTTTTAGACAGACCTGGGGCTCGGTGGAGATGTCCAGGACGGTGTCTGCGAGCAGCCCCCAATGGATCCCAGCCAGGTGGGTCCCATCCGCCTACAGTGCTGGGTGCAGCCGCTCCATCCATGCCAGGCACTTGTGGGGGGCCGGAGCAGAGCCACAGGCAGGGATTTGGGCTGTGTCAGCAACACCCACGAGCTGGGGACTCCTCCCAGCACATTTCCTGACCCGACTGGTTTTCTGGAGCGGAGCCGTGCGGCTCCCTGCACGGTGCCAGCCGGCCCTTCCCGAGCCTTGGGAGCTGGAGGGGGGTGATCCGGAGGGTGTCTCCATCATCCCCCCGCATCTCCCCATCCCTGGGCTGGCGCAGGCGGCAGCGCGTGGCGAGAGCAGTGACGCCTGCTACTTCTGCGCCCGCCGTGTCTACATCGTGGAGCGCGTCAGCGCCGAGGGCCGGTTCTTCCACCGCGGCTGCTTCAGGTGCCGGCGCTGCGGGGCCACCCTGCGCCTGGGCGACTACGCCTTCGACGCGGAGCACGGTGAGGCGCCGGCCGCGCGCCGGGGAGGCGGGCGCTGCCCCCGGGCTGCGCACAGGGCTGCACACAGGCCCCTCTGCGCAGCCCCCGCATTGCAGCCCGCAATGCAACCCTATTGCAACCCCCGGTGTCCTCACGTTGCAGCCTGTTGAATCCCCATTTTGCAGCCTGAGCAGCCCTGGCTTTGCTGGGCACAGTGTCCCCATGCTGCTGGCTCTGGTGTCCCCATGTTGCAGCCCACAGAGTCCCCATGTTGCAGCCTATGGTGTCCCTATGTTGTAACCCACGAGGTCCCCACTTTGCAGCCCATGGTGACCCACACATTGGAGCCCATTGGGTCCTTGAATTGCAACCTGTCAGGTCCCCATGTTGTAGCCCATATCATCGTCCTCATATTGCAGCTGGTTGAGTCCCCACATTGCAGTCCGCAGTGTCCCCATGTTACAGCTCATGGTGTGCCTTCACTTGTGGCCATGGTGTCCCCATATTGCAGGTAGTTGGGTCCCCACGTTCCAGCCCATCGCGCTCTGCACCCCCTCTATGGCAGCCCACGAGGTGCCTGCCCTGCCGCCTCCCTCCTGGCCCGCAACGCGTTTGTGTCCCCTGCAGGTCATTTCTACTGCTTGCTCCATGACCCCAATCTCCACAGCATGGACCTGCCGCAGGATGAGGCCCCGCTGCTGCCCCAGCGGGTGAGTAGCCCCAAGGGGACTGGGCAAAATGGGGGCCAGCCTGGAGCCAGCGTGCTGGCCCYGACGAGTGTGAGGACAGGGATGCCCTAGCATCACCTCCTGCCATCTCTGCCCCAGGACGTCCCCACTGGCCCCTCGTCTCCAGTCACAGGGAGTCCGTGTGTGATCCCTGAGGAGGCAGCACCCGCTCAGCTCCCAGTGGTCCCAGTGCCACCACAGGCACCAGCACCAGAGTCTCTGCTGGAGTCACCACAGGAGTCACTCCCGGTGTCACCGCCAGAGTCACTGCCAGAGTCTCCACCGCCAGAGTCACTGCTGGAGTTGCTGCCAGAATCTCCAACGTCGGAGTCACTGGTGGAGTCTCCATCACCGGAGTCACTACCAGACTCACCATCGGCAGAGCCCGACAGAGCAGAGGAGCCAGAGGCAGCGCCTGGAGCAATGGAGGAGCAGGGCCCGGGTGCAGAGCCCCACGGAGAGGATGAGGAGGGCAACGAGAGTGGCGGCAGGAGGAAGATCATGCTGACACCGCTGGAAAAGCTCAAGCTGTCCACGCTGAGCCTGACGGGCGACGCGGAGCCTCAGCCGCCACCAAAGCCGGCCAGGCTGATGCTGATGGCCCCAGGGAGACGCTCAGGCCACTGGGAGGATGAGGAGGAGGAGGAGGAAGGTGGGTGGCTGCCAGGTGGAGCCTCTTGGAGATGGGAAGGGGTCCCTCCTGCTTGCGCCGTGTCCAACCCTCCCTGCCCATTGCACATGAGTTTGTGGGGGCTCAGCCCATTCTGTTCCAAAGAGCACACGGCCCGAGCAAGCTGCAGGGAGCCTCCCTTTCCACCCCAAAATGGCAGCACTCCAAAATGGCTCTTTTCCTTGGCAGATTTGGAGGAGAGCAGCAGTGAGGAGGAGGAAGAGGAAGAGGAAAGCTCGGACCTTGGCACTGAGCCTGTGAGTGACTCCTCTGTGACGGAGGGGGACATCGGGAGCCACTCAGTGGGGCGGTGGGGACAACACTYGTGCTCCCCACCGCAGGTCCCGGTCCTGGAAGAGTCGGAAAGGCTGGCGACGTGGACGCGGCTGCTGCCGCGCCAGGCGCGCGAGGCKCAGATGAAGCGGTTCTGCAAGGCGCAGGTGGGCACAGTGGGCCCCGCGCTGCCCGCCACCGCGCTCCTGGCCACCGTGCGCCRTGCCCGGGCGGGAGCCAGTGCCGCTCTTGTCCCCCAGGCCATCCAGCGGCGCCTGGAGGAGATCGAGGTGACCTTCGGAGAGCTGGAGCAGCAGGGCGTCAAGCTGGAGAAGCTCCTGCGGGAAGAAAGCGGTAGGGAGCAGGGAGCAGGGCGACCCCGGGGCACCAGTGCCCGGCCGCCGCTCACACTGGCCCTGCAGCCTCCCCGGCCGAGCTGAGGACGCAGTGGATGAACGAGCTGCTCTACCTGGTGCAGAAGAAGAACAGCCTGGTGTCTGAGGAGTCYGACCTCATGATCACGTAAGGAGCCACTGTGTGGGGTGACACCAGCGGGGATGAGCCCCTTGTACCCCGTGGGCACTGCTGTTCCCCTCCACAGGGTGCAAGAGCTGAAGCTGGAGGAGCAGCAGAGCCGGCTGGACCAGCAGCTGCGGCGCTTCATGAGCAAGGAGGGTAAGGGTCCCGGTGCGGGATGGGGCTGGGGAGGGGACCGGGGCGCCTGCCCCACTGCTCCAGTCCCGTGGCTCCCACAGAAGTGCAGAAGACGCCGGCAGAGCGAGCGGCGGAGCAGGAGACGCTGGCRCGGCTGCTGGAGGTCGTGAACCAGCGCAATGCCCTCATCCACGTGCAGGAGGAGAGGCGGCTCAGCGAGCTGCAGCACTGAGCCCGCCGGGAGCCCCCCGCTGCCTGCACAGCCACGGAGATGCCGAGGAGCACCCTTGGCGCTGGGACGTGTGGAGGATACAGATCCCAGGGCACTTCCCCAAGGCCTGGGTGCAAGGATGTGGCCGCAGCCACCACTGCTGGGTCTTGGTGGCGGACACAGTGACAGTGGCAGCAGTTCCCAGGAGCCACCTTGGGACATCCATCCCAGGCAGRCATCCATCCCACCCCTGCGCGTGCATCCCAGCCCTGTATTTCCCAGCCCTGAGTATTGCACTTGCACTGACCGGTCTGATGCCAGCTTGGAATAAAGCTTCTTCCATCCAGCACAGAGGGTTAAAACACCACCTTTATTCCCTACTCCCAACTAATCCAGCMTCAGAGCTGGGCTTGGGAACTGCAACCGGGTCGAGAGCAGGACCGGAGCGCAGCATGATCCCTGCAGAGAGCCCCGGGCTGGAGCGCTGCACCACCCACCACAGCATCATCAAACCCAGGCTCCCTGGGGCTCCACCAGCTCCATGGCGCTCCTTGGAGGTGGGAACTGTGGTGGTAAACCAGACAGCAGCTAAAAAAGCCTGTATGAGGGCTGCCCCTCTGTCACCTGAGGCTGCGGCCGTGGGGACAGGCGGCGGCGCGACCCGCGCACAGGCGCTCGCTCCGCGGGACGCGGCTAKGCCGAAGGGAGCGGTGGAGAGGGGACAGCGAGGGACGGCAGCAGCGGCGCCGCCCGCATCTGCTCCTGGGCGCCCTGYAGCAGCCGCCCCTCCACGGTGTGCAGGAGGAGGAGGAGGAGGGCGGCGCCGAGGGCGAGCGAGGCCAGCAGGCAGCAGGGCAGCGGCGCGATGGGCCGCGTGGCACCCCAGCCCGTCGGGACGCCCAGCGCCGCCGCCGCCGGCAGCAGCAGCAGCAGCAGGGCGAGCGCGGCCAGGCAGGCAGCCGCCGAGCGC